GGAGCAGGTCGAATGAAGAAATACTTCTTCTTCCATTCGGTAATATTGGAAGAGATGTCGTCAAGGAAAGTACCGCCTACTCGACGGCCCAAACAATGGGCGTCCTTGCTAAACCTATACTCGTAGCAGTAAAGGAAAAATTCGGGTAGAAAATTACCTAAAACTATGCGGGTAACAACTATGAAGGCCACCATTATTCGAATAGAATTAGGGGTGAACTGGTTTATTGGTATGTCGAAAAGATTGCTCAACGACCGCAGCTCAGGTTGAATCGGGAAACGCAGGCCCGACATTATTTGATCCACAAATAAAGTAAAACAGCCTTTAGGGGGGCGACGGAAGTCGTCTTCGGGTTTAGGGGCGACTACGGCCCAATCAGAGGGAAGTTCGCTGAACTCCCTGAAGCCATCGATTTCGGCTGCAGGAGCATGATAAAACGATAATGAGAACTTTACCACAGAATATGCTAATAGTTACAGACTCGATTAAAGGAAGTCATCATCAAGTAAAGGAATGGGGCTGGTCGCATTTATGAGGATGTCTAGAAGAACCTAGTGGAAAATACCTCGAGTCAAGTCGGGATAAGAGGATTCAAGGACTTGAAGAACTTCGGGATCCTCACAAAGCGTGCCCGAAAGTAGCGCCTGGTTGTATACAGCCAAGTCGATACCGAAAGGTGAGGCATTGGAATGGACAGAACCCTCCGATTCGACGTTTCGACGAGAGCACGGTTCGACATCGTTTTGATGAACAGAGTCCGAGCCTGAATAGTTATTAATCTCACGGGCAAGAGAACCGGAGACGGGGTCAGAAACAGGGTCGAGACTAGAATCTAAAAAAAAGAGAGGAATGGCAATCGAGAAAAACTATTAGAAAGCGTAGCAGTGATTCGATTCAGAGAAAATGGGTCAACAAAATAGCTAGGAAAGCGCAAGAAGCGCCTCGACAACGGGAAGAAGGGAGAAACGGGAAAAATCTTCCCCATGTCAATTCGACTCGACAAGGGAAGATCGAGACGAGAAAGGAAAAAAGTCGATCTCTCACAACAAAACGACTAACAGAGAAAAACACTTGGAGGAAATAAAAAGCCTACAATCAAAGATCTAACAGGAAAATAACCAAAAAGATCCACATACAATTCCCAGGAAATGAAAGATGTTATTATGCCCAGATAATTTACCCAGAAAAATAACAAAGGCGTTATTATCTCAGAACACGAAAACAAGTCGAATAGGCAAAGAAAGCTTACTCATACTCATGGTGGTTGACGGAAAGCCCTTAAAGATCTGAGAAGAACGCCGGAAAGTTAGAGCGCCGGAAAACCTGAGAAGCTGTGTTTGCCGGAGATAAATAGAAAGCTCAAAGGAGGCGAGTGAGAAAAGTGAGGAGGAGAAAAGGTGAGGATTACTTATAGAGAAGGCAAAGAAACCCCGGCCCTCGGATTAAAGTCATTTTCAACGGCCAAGATGATGCACAGAATACGAAGCGGTGGAGAGAGAGTGTTATCTTTTGAATTTTGAAATTTAAAAAGATTCAGACTTATCTAATCAAATCAAAATTCACGTAAACGAGTCGTATTACAAGTCGAGGTAACAAGTGGATGCAACCCGAGGTAGCAACTGATGACGGGACACATGAAAAGATTCGAGGAAAACATCCCGTCGACAAAATCTACTCGTAAGCTCAGAATCGCTTCGAGTAATTTTGGGGGGGACTAGATGATATAGCCACACTGTCGTGTAATGGTTCAATAACCGTGACATTGCCGCACTGGCTCATAACGGTTCGAAATTATCAAGCCGACTTCAACAAAGTCGACTCCGTCAGTAAGGTTCCACGATACACAGTCAAGAATCCTGGCTCTCGACCGAGTCGACGTA